ACCTTTTTCGCCAGGCGGTCCTTCAGGTCCCGTCATCCCAGGTAATCCCTTGAGACCGACGATATCGAGACCCGGGATACCCCTGGGACCGGGAAGTCCATCGGCTCCGGGTTTACCCGGTGAACCCTGTCTTCCGTCATATCCTGCCAACAAGAAAAAAGAGCGGAAAAGTTAAATAAGCACCTCCAAAATAGTCGCCCTAATGACTTTAGATGGAGATCTTGCAAAAACGGGAAAGGAGACTCTCCTGTAGCCTACCCTGCAGTCCTTTTTCTCCTTTTGCTCCTGCTGGACCAGGAAGACACTGGGCACCGGGCTTTCCACGTTCGCCTATCCTGCCCGCATCACCCTTCCTGCCCTGTGGTCCCTCTGGGCCTCGCTCGCCTTGAAGACCCACTGCCCCCTTCGGTCCCTCAGGTCCCTGAGGGCCTTGGAAACCTTTCGGTCGTGAAATTGCTGGGCAATCCATTTTCTGCAAATCGAGATAAACTATACTATCACGGAATAACACTTATGTTCACTCATGCTGCATGGAGTATTTAAGACCTTGTGGAGAAGTTGCCTGGCGGTAGACACTGGTTATATTAAATCGAACAGCACACATTAAATGGACTCCGAAGTACAGGAAAGGCAAAATTTGAAAGCAGGCAATCAAGTCGCTTCTAAACTATGTTACAAAATCTCAGTTATATGGCTGTGGCAAGAATCTTCCCTGCCAGAAAGGATCTTAAAAAATAAATTGATTCCTGGACAACCTAAGTCAAATAGCCAAGCCGCTGCTTGGATTTCGTTTTATTTTGATGTAATATTCGTACAGGATTTAGTACCACATTTTAGACCTATTTTACAGGATTTGGTTCTGAAAGACTACTGTAAAATTTTTAACAGGATTATATACAGTTGCCTGGGCTTGTGAGCGATAGGTCAGTAGTTAAGTAGCAACCTTCCAAAACACTGAGACTATTGGCATAAGTGAGGAAAACTATGATAGATTTCCTTGCAGTGACGATTTTTTTAAATAAATTAAATACTTATGCCGTGGGGAGAAAGCACTTAAAATCCTTCCTTTTGTTTGGCCTAATTTCATGTCTAAATATATAAGGAGTCACCAGAAATACTACTTCTCTCACGAATTGCTGCCATAAAAGAGCACACTTTCATTCAAGCATGCACCTTAATAATGGGATGACGCTGCAGAAGATGTTAGAAAGGGGGTTTCAAATGTGTACATAGACATTGAAAGGCATTTGTCAACAAACGAGCTGTCCACTTGGGTAGATGGAAATTGATTGGAATAAAGGCTTAAGACTTAGATCAAACATTTTTATCCCCACACACTTTTCTCTAACAAAATGAGGTTTTGGTTCGAAAAGGTTACGTTAGTTAGTTTATGACAGTTAGTATCTTACAGCGTAATCGCAAGATATGGCAGTTAGGCGATGAGGCTGGTATTTGAATTCCTGTAGGGGATCCGCTAATTAGAAGTTTTGAACACAACTGACATGGCGTTTCGCATTGGTTTGCAATGTCCTCCTTTGGCAAAAAACGTTTGTACACAGTATGCAGAAAAGATTCCTTTCGTAAATGAACGCTGCAGCAAAGCATATGCTGCTAAAATTATCTATTTGATGAAAGGTCATTTTCGAATTTTTTGAATATCCCCCAAAAGAGTGAATTATTTTGAACTTGGACTATGGTGGTACTTGCTTTTTTCTTTCATAACGCAAGCTGTAATGCTTCGATTTAGAGCAGATTCTATTGTTATAGGATGTCATAGGAGACCCACACAAGTTCATTTTCAATATGGACCGCATTATCTGAACATAAAGGACATGAGTACAAGGAAGAATTTGTAGACTGAAATAATCAGCACATTGAAGAAAACTTTGAGGATATGTTATAGGA